TGTTTGAATCTTTTTCCTTTTAAGATTAAGAATAACTTGAATGATCATATCCAAGTCTTTGTTTTTCTTTAATTAATTGATTCTACTAATTTCAATGGTGGCGATGTCGCGCTATGAATTTACGAAGGAAGACAGTAGCTCATGTTTGGCTTATATGTGTATTACAATTTCAGCTAAGAATTTAGATTTGGAACTAACCAATTTGATGAATCTTTGTTGGTCCAACTCTTCAATTTGATCAACCAAAACTTAATTGACAATGTAAAGGCCATGGGTAATCATCAAATTGAATCAATTGAAGCTCCAACAACCGGATTTGATTTTGCCCCTTTACCTGTTATTATTTGAACTTGATGTTGCAAGTGATTAAAGCTCTTGATGTTGTCCGTGAATTTCGTCAAAAGATTGTCATTTTTTTTAAATTTGTCACTTTTTTTAAAAAAAAATTTCGTCACTTTTTTTTGAATTGTCACTTTTTTTATTGTCTGTCATTTTTTTAATCTCTATAACTTCTTTGAATTCGTCACCTTTTTAAAATTTGTCACTTTTTTGAATTTTGTCACTTTTTTTAATTTTTTGTCACCTTTTAAGTTTTTGTCACTTTTTAAGAAGATAAAAATGAAACAATTTGTTATATTTTCCTAACATAATCAGCATGTGGATTGACCTGAATGTGGTGATTATTTTAAGAACATGATTACTGGTGCTGCACAAATGGATGGTGCTATTTTGGTATTTGTCACTTTTTTTGAGTTCGTGTTACTTTTTTTTGAAAAAGAAAAAAGTGACAATTTTTATAAAGAAAGTGACATTGTGTGGTTTTTTAATTTTACACAGTATTTTTTACTTCCTAAAAACTTTTTATATGATTTTTCAAAACATCCATAATTTTAAGGGTATTTTTGTAAGTACTCCTAAATAAAATTTCTAGGTCGAAGTGAACCATGGCATCGGACTTCATCTTCTTCATTCAGTCTGGTTCTCCTCTTCTCTCTAGCTCACCCCGTGCTTCTTCTTTCCCAAGCCACCTTGGCCTTTCACATAACACGCAGAAGGAATTACGGGATTGTTTCGAATTCTTGGGTTTACTAAAAGCAGAATAGAAAGAGGGAGAGACAACGAGGGTTCTACACTTCTAGGGCTTTTTCTTTGGTTTCCCTCTTCTTGTCCGTTTTTTGAAGGAATTTGATAACTCTCTCCTTGCTTCTAAACAGGAAATGGTCGGGTTCTCGATGCAGCCGTATGGAATACAGGGAATGCTGAAAGAAGGGCACCGGCACCTCTCCGGCCTCGACGAAGCCGTGCTAAAAAACATCGATGCTTGCAAACAGCTCT